CCTTCTTGCAAATATGATAACATCGAAATCTCTTTCATTAAATTTGATTATTTTCCTTATTTTCCGAAAGCCGGCCTTCAATTTGCAAATTATGAAATAGGAAACTCGATATTTCCTTTTTGAGTACTGAGCTGCTGTCTAAGTTCTGATTTGATGTCGCCATCCTGTAATTATCAAAACTGAAGGTCTGGCTTTGCTTATAAGCTGTTGTAATTACTCAGTCAATTTGATGAAGCTCAGACTCAGCATTTTCCTCGCTGTAAACACGCGACACAACATGTATTATGTACAGGGAGGGGAATACTTCTTTTAACAGAAGTAAGGTTCTCCTCTTTCAAGAAACTAATAATTATTTGAAAGTTCTTATTTTTTGTTACTTTCTAAAATAGGACGCTCAATCAAATCAGTTTACATTATTTAATGCTATTGTTTTCTATATGTATTCCATACAAACTCATTAAGTAATTTAAATAAAAGCATAAAATAATTAGAAAAATTAAATTTTAGGACGTAGTATGAAATATGTAGAGTAATAACATTAAATATAAATTTATAAAGAATAGAGCAAATGAAATTAAGATTAATTTAATTATGACAGGAATCAGTTAATAATTTTAATTTACTTCAGATGCGTGTGATTATGGAAAAGCCTCGAGTGCTATCTGCCTAAGGGGAGGGATGCCTTCGTGGAGGACTTTCTAAGGGAAACTGGCTCGTAAATCCGTTACACACGGGGAAAACCACGAAAACGCCCATGCAGCCAGCCCGTTCGCGGGATTCGAACCTCGGACCGAACTACCAGTGTTCAGCGACTTTACCGCTCGACCGCTGGTGGGCCTTTTTTCAGATGCATATGTAACTTATGGAAAGAGTGAAAGCAGTTGCGTTTATATTTTCATTTATGATTATTTACTTAGAAATAATGATCATTACGAAAATATTATTAAAAGAGGAGCAATAGTGTGTTTTAAATTTTTATCATTAATTTTCGAGCATCAAGTTGCCGTTCACCATAAAATTTCGAAAAAAGTTTTATTCATTTTGAAAATAAATAAAAATTTTATTAAAAATAATTTTATTTCTGATGTGCTGACTGCAGAAGATACATTTAAAAGTCAAAGGTCTAGTTAATACTTTTGTTATAAATTGCTATTTAATTACTCTTCTTATTCTTAAGTTTGCTAATCAAAGTAGTTAAAAATTAACATAAAAATAAATGCAGCTATATATATATAATCGAAAGCTAAATGCTTTTTATATCGATTTAAGTTTGCGCTGAACTAAATTAAAGTTCTACTACAAATGCTTTACAATAGAGCAAGTAATTATTTACAGTGCCGGAAAGTGCTTCATGACTCTAGATGGCATATTTAACGTTTCTTAATAGAGAGTTAGCGAAGTTTACACTCACTCATAGTTTGTAATTAGCCAATAAAAACAGCCCACGAAGATTTATTTCAGACTGAGTAGAGTAAAAGATCACCTACGGATGTCTCAGCAGTGAAAAAGTAAAAAATATCCTAATTATAGAATCACGTTTCATCTTTTTTTTCTTCTGTTTTATTTTTATTTCCCCACCAGCGGCCGAGCGGTAAAGTCGCTGAACACTGGTAGTTCGGTCCGAGGTTCGAATCCCGCGAACGGGCTGGCTGCATGGGTGTTTTCGTGGTTTTCCCCATGTGTAACGTGTATACGAGCCAGTTTCCCTCAGAGAGTCCTCCAAGAAGGCATCCCTCCCCTTAGGCAGATAGCCCTAGTGTGCTTTGCGATAATTAAATACACCACCACACCAATTCTGTTTTATTTATTAAACACCATTGTGCATATTTTGGAGTGAATATGGTCGATAAAGAAACAAAAGGAAAGAACAAGCTGAAAAATTCAAAATCTTGAGAAATTTATTTTTCTAGCATTTTGAACCTCACAGATTATTCAAAAGCCGATGATAGTTGTATGTTGTTTAAATATTCTGTAGAATCTACTAATATATTTTTATGCATTTTACACTCTAAACGTCAGAGAAAGCACCGCTGTGGCACACACACATGAAAACGCATAATGGAATTTAATAGCTGGAACCGTATAATTTGAAAGAAATGTGATAACAAAAAGCAGAAATTAGTTCATACGAAAAAGTAAAATTTAAATCAATGTCTAGATAAGAAAATTTTATTGCGATTGTAAAATAATCATTTAAAATCGATTTATTTTGAGGCTCATTACATTAAGTGTACCAGCAGTATGGGTACTTAGTGTCTCAAGCATGTATATAGTAAACTTAAACGTATCGTAAATGAACTGTATATGCAACATGTATATTTAAAAATAATATGAGTCATGCATCTGCAGCGTGAGTAAGCAGTATTTTCAATTATCTACATTATGTGTACTTAGCATTATGCATTCTGTATATAGTAATCCCAAGTTTATTCTGTATGTGGTATTCTGTATGTATTCTGCAACATGCAATCTCGAGCATATCGTAAATGAACTGTATCTGCAACATGTATATTAAATGCATAGCAATGTAATATCAGTCAGGTATCTGCAGCGTGTGTAAGCAGTCTCTTTAATGTATCCAGTATTATAAGTAACATATTTATAATAAGTCTACTTAGCATTACGTTTCCTTTATATAGAAATCTTAAGTCTACTCTATATATGGTATTCTGTATGTATTGTTTATATAGTAGTCTCAAGCGTGTACATAGCAATCTCGAGCATATCGAAAATGTACTCTATGTGCAACATGTATAGTTAAATGCATAGCAAAATGTACTGTATCTGCAAGATGTATAGTTTATATAGTAGTCTCAAGCGTGTACATAGCAATCTCGAGCATATCGAAAATGTAATGTATCTGCAACATGTATAGTTAAATGCATAGCAATGTGATATTAGCCAGGTATCTGCAGCGGGTGTAAGCAGTATTATCAGTGTTTCAGTATCCTGAGTAACATACCTACATTAAGTGTACTTGGCATTATGTATCCTGTATATAGTAATCCCAAGTTTATTCTCTATATAGTAGTCGTAAGCAGTATTATCAGTGTATTCAGTATTATGAGTAACATATTGTTACGAATTTGGTATTTAAAAAGCTAATGTTAGTTCAATTATAAATTAAATGGTTTTATTTCTCGCGCAGTGCAGCGCGTGACGAATATTAAAAGAAAGCTAAGCCGGAAAATTGAAAATACAAGAGCGCGTGCATTAAATAAATAAATATCTCTTTTTGATTTCGAGAAAGAAATTGCTAGAAAAATTCTAGCGCGTGATTTAAAATCTTATAAAAAGGAGGAAAACCATCTCAGTTCGTAGTAGTTGCTTAGTTTTAAGAGTTTGTTTAGAAAACTGCTCTTATTGATTGTTAGCGAATTCGCGGATTAGCTTTCTTTAGCTGTTTTGAATTAAGTTCTATTGAACGTTTGAGTAGTTAAAAGAAAACTACTGTGAGATATTGTGATATTCTGCACGATTATTTGAGGAACATTTAGGCATTTGTGTTATTTGTTGTGAATAATAAGTAAATTTTCTTCATTTTTCACTCGAACTGTGCACATTTAATTTCGTAACGAACCCGTACGCACGCAACAATTTTTGGTGTCAGGAGTGGGGTTTTGAATGCCAATTAACAAGAGCGATGAAAAGCAATTAAGGCAAGTTGATCTCAGCCTTTGCCTCGTTGAAAGAAGATATGAAATCTAATCAGGAAAAGATTGAAGCGAGACAGGAATCTCGTTAAGGACGAGATGAAATCTGCCATTCAAGCTGCTCAATTAACTTTTGAAAGCAGGTCATAGGAAAGCTGAAAAGAGAAATTACCTGCGTAATTAATAGAAAACAAATTCGAGGCTGTATGGAAGGTAGAATAGACTCGGTCGAAAGTAAGGTTGGAGAAATTGAAGAAAGAGTCTCCTCCGTCAAAGAACAAATAGAAGGGAGAGTTTCTGCTGTAGAGGAACGAATTGAAGGAAGATTTTGTGCCATCGAACAACAAATTGATGATAGGGTTTCTGCAGTAGCCAAAGAAGTGGATATTTTAAATAAATTCGTAGCGACGGCAGGGAACAATAGTGATGGTTTTAAATTTTTACCCATGCCTGCTCGTCCCTCTCTGAAATTATCTACATATGATGGGAAGACCTCCTGGCAATTGTATAAAACACAATTTTCTATAGTGGCGGATGCGAATGGATGGGATTCCCAAACTAAGGCCTGTCATCTCGCCGCTTCTCTGAGAGCAGACGCTTCCCGAAAACCAAAGACTTGACTTCGAAGCTCTATCCGGCGCATTGGAGCTGCGCTTTGGTGAGAAATGTTTAAAAGACTACAGTAGGCTTCAATTAAAATCTCGTCAACAGAAGCCCACCGAAACACTTCAGGAGCTCGCCACGGATGTTGAAAGGCTGTCTCATCTCGCCTTGCCGAGTGCCCGACAGAAACAAGAGAAATCCTGTCGCTGCAATACTTTATCGATGGCATCCGGGATCCCGAAATACAGAAGGCTCTACGAATGGCGGATGTTAAAGATTTGAAAAGCGCTTTAGTGTACGCCATGAAATTCGAGGCAGCCCAGCAAGCAACTAGTAGAGATCGCTACCCAGCCAGAATTGTGCGAGTCCACAAGCCAGTGGATCAACTGATGGTTCGTTTAGATGATTTATCCAGACAAGTCGACGCTTTGATACGGAGTAGCAGTGAGAACAAAGTGGCTCGAAGGTGTTGGAGATGTGGTTCTGAAGGTCACCTACGACGGCATTGCAGAACACCCCAGCAAAGAATCTCTAAGGAGAAGAAGTAAAGGTTTCCCGAGGCAAATGTGGCTCCGTCAGACTGAAGAGACACTGTGTATGTCCCTGAAGCTTATTTTAAAGGGGCAATCCATCCACCCTCTGTACCTTTCTGCTCATGTGCGAAACAGCAGGCAAGAAACCGGCATGTCGGCAGCCATATTAGCTATCTTTTACCGCGTTGTTTGAAGAGGTTCTTTGAAAGGTTTTTCAGTTCTTTTCTCTAGTTATTTAAGCAGATCATAAGATGGATGTTTCGCAAGACGATCACCGGAATTCACCCGATTCTCTTTCTGTGAGGTAAGCTTGCTTTTTTAATTCGAGAACCTATCATAGATTTTAAAAATTGATTTTGTATAGTACATTAATTTTGATTCTCAAGCTCCAAAAATATTTTGTCTCATTGTATAACACAGTAGCTAGATTTTCATTCTTAAGTTACTTAATATATTAACATTTTAGTATAATATAAAAATAAAATATTAACTTTGCATTTTAGCATATGAATCTCAATTTATATAATTAATCATATGGCAAACAAATACTATAGTTTTTGCAGGCATATTGGTATTTCTTTCCAAATTTTTAAATGAGTTTTAAGCTTTAAAGTCAACTAATAATAATATTACGACAAAACGAGCGATCAGGAATAAATTTGCCATTTATAATAATGCGGCAGCTAATGGCATGTATGATTGCATAAATTAATTTTATTAATAAATTGTATTATGCTTCAGCTTTAAAATTTATGCTATAGATTACCAAATAGTTTTATCTGAGAAAATTTTATTTAATACTTAGTGGCCACTGAAATTAAAAACAGTATTATTTTTAATTTAGTATATTGATAGTTATATACAATTTTTCGTATTTTATGATTATTTTTGAAAAATTTATATTCATTATTATAAAAATATAATTTTGATTTCTCTCAATATTTGATGTGGTGTGGTGAATAACAGACTAACTCACTCTATCTTTTACTTAGCAAACAACCCAAATCCTGGTATCGCTGTTGTGTTTGTGGGACAACGTCTCGAAAAACACCAGACAGGAAATTCTTCAGATTTCCTAAGGATCCTATTAGGTAAATCATTTCTAAGTTTAAAAGAAACTAAGCTTTGATTATTATTAATATATATATATATCTCAATTTTTGATAGAGAAGCAAATATTTCATGTATTTGGAATAATTTAAATAAATAGCTTGTTTTTTTCCATTAAGTGTTCCTCATCATAGACAAATAGTTCAGTGTTCTTCTGTAAATATCCAAGATAACTGTGCTTGTGATACAGTTGCTCCCAAAAGTGTTCATACACTTTAAGAATTTGTAAAAAATGCGCTGTAGCCCGGAATTGAATTTGATTATAAAGCCCAATATTTTCTCATATCTCGAAGTGATTTTGAATAAAACCAAATTTTTTTTAAAATTTTTTTCTTCTAATATTTTAGAAGATAATTTTTGTAATTTATGTATTACAAGCTTGAATGCTGCAGGATATCCTACAAAAACTGACAGAAATTTAACTGCAATATTTCGTAATAGTGTCTGCAGATTTCTTTAAAGTGCACGAAGATTTTTGTGAGGTAACTTTTTTGTTACTTTTTAATTATTAATTCCCCCCCAAAAGTTTTACTGTATTCTTATAATACTTTTATAGAGTTTTGCTAAGATAAATTTATAGATATTAAAAAATTCTCACAGCACTATTTCACTGAAACTCATAAGTGTACGAACACTTTAGGGAACCACTACATATTGGTGTGAATAAGGAAGGAAACATTTTAAAGATGCACTTTACGAACAATGTGTACTTTTTATTGGTGCCTTATCCTTTTTTTAATCATATTGTTAACAAAACTGTACAAAGAAATGCTAAATGTTTTAACTAGATACTATGACCGGTAACTACAATTTAACACAATATCTGCAAAATTATTGGTTTTCGTACATCAAAATAAAATTAGATGAAATGAAATCGTTTCAGAATTTGTTACTAATGTAAAAGGAATTTTTTAACAAGGTTAAATTTCTAATAACACTGAAAAGAGGTTCTTTTAATTAAAGAAAATAAAATTGTTTTTTGTTTTCATAGATCAAAATAATAGAGAATTAGTATAAATATGTCAGAAATGTAATAAATCATATTAAGTTTATCAAGTTATACATGAATTTTTCCTTAAATTATAATTTAATGTTTGTTCTTAAAAAATATATAACCCTTCTCGAGATTGTGTAACTAATGTATAAGGAATGTTTTTTAGTTTGCTATTTTTCTACTAACACTGAAAATGGATTTATTGAAATTCAAAATATAAAATTAATGTTTTTCATTTTTATAGATCAAAACAATGGGCTGCCTGCATGCAGTAATCAAGACTTGTTAAATAAATCACCTAATGATTTGTATAAAACTGCACCAATATGTTCGGCACACTTCAAAGATCACGATTACTGTTCATCAAAGATGCGATATTTACTTTCCTGTGCAGTGCCAAAAAAATTTGAACAAACAGGTATCTACAGTGTTTACTGTTATTATTTCAATATGCTTAACAATAGCGCCATATAAGAAATAACTCATCAATAATAGTAGATGACCTGTCCTGTTATGCTCAAAGAATACTGTGCAACAAAATTGATGGTTTGGATCGCCTGTCATGTTATGCTTAAAGAATGCTGTGCAACAAAATTGACGGTTATTAGTCGAAATATTGACTGCTACTAAAATTTTAAGTTTCGGAAAAGATCTCACAGATTGTTTTAAATTTCTGAAAAAATTCTTGTTTATATTTTTATTATGTTTAGAAATTACTTTTGGGTTATATTTATTATTATGTATTGATTTTTATGTTAATTTTTTTAATTGTGGTCAGATATTGATAATGTATTTCAGTGTTTTCAATTTATTTAGAGGTGCTTTTAATTGTTCTTTAATTTTGTTTTCTGTTTCAGTTTGTTATATGCAAATTTTGCTTGTAAAATTTTAAATATGGATTCATAAAATTCATTATGTATCGTATGATGTGTGTTTTTTTTTTTTCTTTCTAAGCTTACAGAATTAAATGTACTCATTGGTGGAATAATTCTGGATTAAAGAGATTTTTGGCAAAATTAAAATTATGTAAAATCCAAGCCCAAGCATACAGCATTTTTAGAATTATTATATGTATAGTGAAGGGGGAAAGTAGGGATTTTTTGTAATTGCTACTTAAAAGAATTAAGTTCTAATTTCATAATTTGAAACAATCTTCATCAGGATGAGCTGCAACAATATTTATTTGATTCAGTGGATTATTTATAAAACTTCTTAATACCTATAGGTTTGATTTTCAAGTCAACTATTTAATCTTATATTAATAAATGTGAGAAGTATAGAATATTTTATGAACAAAAAGAATGAAATTAGTTATTTTAGTAATTTATGTGCAACTTTTATAAGACTTTTTAAATGTAATCTTGTATTTGTTAATTTAAGTGAAATGTTTTTGGCTTTTGGTTGCAAACTTTGCTCATTGTTTTCATAATGATCATTCCAAATAATTGTCTAAAAAATTTCTTGGTATTTGTGAAGATGCTTAAAATTATTTTGCATATGTATATTCTGAAACTTGAGAAATGTCAATAAAAATCATTTTTTTACCTCAAATGTGTTATTCTTTGTTTTAATATTTAATAATATGCTTTATATGAAAAGTTTTACATTTTCATAAAAATATGAAAAGATTTACATTTTTATGTAATTAATTGCAGATTTGTTAGAAATCTAACATCACGGCAGTAGTTAATTTTGTTTTCTATTAATTCTGATGTTAGTTATAAATTAATGCTAGATATTATATCAAAAGAATAACAATTATGTGAGTTTACAGAAAGAAGGGTTAAGTGGAAAAAATAAGGAATATAAAAATAATAAAATTTCTTTATTTATTCATCTTTTTTTCATTTATTTTGCAATTGAATTTTAGGATGTTCTATGCGAAACATCTAGACGATTAAAGATTAGAAGATAAAAGATCAGCTACACAATTTATCTGAAATGTATGAAAATAAAACATTTTGAGGAATTTCAAAGTAAAAAAAAAATTACTATCTCCTCGGACTGCGCTATTTAAATTCCACCCTGCGCTGCTGTTTCACTGCATAGCCGTGGCTATTCAATATAACGGCGCAGAGGCGAAACAGGTTTACACTGCGTCTATGGAAGCTTTCATTCTTTCCTTAGAGATTCTTTGACCCCGGGGGCACGGATAATAAAATGGATGATTTGACAAGACCAGTGAATGCCTTGAGACGGAAAATTGGTGAGAAAATACCAACCCTAAAGTGCTGGAACTGCGGTCTTGAAGGCCACATACGAAGGAACTGCAGAACACCCCAAAGCACGGAAAGTAAGAGAGGCGGGTTAAATAGACAATTAAATGCCATGGGACAGAAAAGGATTGACAAGAAACCAAAGTGCTGGAACTGTGGAGCTGAAAGCCCCGTACGAAAGAATTGCAGAACACCCCAGGGTACGAACACTGTGACCAATTCTCAGCAACGACGCAGGAAACAAATGAATGGCCATATCCAGGAATGGAGGTTGCCAGATAACGAAAAACCTTGTTTTAAAGCGCTCAAGATTTCTATAGCGAGTGGCAACAGTAACGGACTGTCCATCAATGGGCACATCGATGGAGTTCCTTGCAATATGATCATTGACACAGGAGCTAATATTACCATCATTCGGAGAGATTTAGCTCAACAGTTCAAAGATAAACTTATTTGGACGCCATCCTGTGTTACCCTTCAGACTGCGTCTGGTGACAAGATCGAAATAGCCTGGAAGTTAAACGTGAACATCGTGTTTGGAAGTGCCACCTACCATCACATGGCATATGTGGCGGATATTACAGATCCATGCATACTCGGATTGGACTTTTCATGGAAACACAATTTTTCCTTAGACTTCAAAAACAATAAGCTGTTCTCAGCATCTGAGGACATGACTATCCATCCTCAGAAGGGATCCTCACCTGGAAATGCCGATGCCTTGTCCGAAAGACCCAGCTCGAGAAGCTGCCGAAATCATGCTAGGGTCGAAAAGAAACACCAGACTACCAGCTATTCTCCATCCCAGATGCTCTTCGGTCGAGACCTTCGTCTGCCTTGTGACCGCCTGTTTGCTCGCCCATACGGATGCGCCTTCATCGCCTGAGGAACACATCCAAGATGTCAAGGCCCGTTTTGAAGTGATGCACCGTTCCGCACGAAAGCGAGTGAACTTGGCGACGGAGAAAGTGAAGTCCAGATACAACACGAGAGCTACTGGACATAGATCCAACAAAGGAGACAAGGTGTGGTTGTGAACCCGATTCAACGAAAAGGACTCAGTCCTAAATTACAGTCACCTTCGGATGGTCCATATACAGTGCTGAACAGGCTGAATGACGTCGTGGTTCGGATCCGTGAGTTTTCGAACTCTGAACCTAAAGTCGTTCATTACGACAGGTTAGCTCATTACTATGGCCATAGTACGTAATGTAAATAATTGTAAATAGTATAAGACCATGGTCCTTTTTGTTTTTAAATGTGTATTTGATTTGATTTGTATTTAGTATTTGATTTGTATTTAGTATTTGATTTGATTTGTATTTAGTATTTGATTTGTATTTGATAGCATTTGATTTGTTTTACTTATTGCATTTATTGTTCATGTTGTTTATTATTGTAATGTAATGTTTATTAATGCATTTATGCCACAGTTGTAAGTTTGGCTTCCTGTCCATGGATTGTACTGCTCGGGACGTGCAGTCCTTGGGAAGGGGGCAGTGTTACGAATTTGGTATTTAAAAAGCTAATGTTAGTTCAATTATAAATTAAATGGTTTTATTTCTCGCGCAGTGTAGCGCGTGACGAATATTAAAAGAAAGCTAAGCCGGAAAATTGAAAATACAGGAGCGCGTGCATTAAATAAATAAATATCTCTTTTTGATTTCGAGAAAGTACTGAAAAATTCTAGCGCGTGATTTTAAAATCTCATAAAAGGAGGAAAACATCTCAGTTCGTAGTAGTTGCTTAGTTTGTTGTTGTTTAGAAAACTGCTCTTGTTGATTGTAGCGAATTCGCGGATTAGCTTTCTTTATCTGTTTTGAATTAAGTTCTATTGAACGTTTGAGTAGTTAAAAGATAACTACTGTGAGATATTGTGATAGTGCACGATTATTTTAGGACATTTAATCATATTTGTTGTAATAAGAATAAATTTTATTCATTTTTCATCGAACTTGTGCATTCATTTCGTAACGAACCCGTACGCACGCAGCAATATCTGCATTAACCTTTTCCCGGGGTTGGAACATATATGTCCCGAGCAAAGTATACGACAACTGGGGGGTCGGGAAGTTTTTCCTTGGTCGCAGGGGTAGGAATTGTAACGCTTGAGGCTTAACAATTATTTTGCGACACCCTAACGAGTGCGTTCTTTTGTGAGATTCCTCTAATGGGTGGGGTAATTGTCTGTAATTTGAACCCACATGGTTTGTTTGCGAATTCAGTGTCTTCCGGGAAATATTTTCTCAATAGGAGAAAATAAAAACAATAATTTATTGCTTCGATTCTCGCGCGTTTGCGTTCTAAGATCTTTCTTCAAATTTTTTTTTTAATACCGTTATAAATTCTTTGAGTTGATACTTATCATTTTTTGGAGTTCGGTATTAAATAATGGCTAAACATAAAGGACATTTTCTTTGTTTCATTCTTTGTGTAATTGTTTGTTTCAATTTATTCCAGTTTTTAATGTGCATGTAAAGGCAGTGTAATGAATATAAACGTTTCAGGTGATGAAAATTAATTTTAATGTTATTTCTAAATGACATACATTCCACGACTACTGTTATTTACTTGAGTGAAATTTTGGTTTGTTATATGTTCTAAACTGTAACTAGCGGCTGAGTGGATAAAATTTCCTTTAACACTGATAATTCAAACCCGGGTTCAAATTTCGATGAACAGGATTGACTGCATGAAACCTTTTCGTATTCGTTTCACGTATATGAGCCAATTTCCTTTCGAACGTCCTCCACGAAAGCCCCTTCGATTAGGCAAATAATCTTTTCTTTAATCAGACGAATAAAAATAAAATTATATTCGAAATAAGAAAGCTATATTTATGAGCGTCTCATAACTGTATTTAGGAACTGTAAAATAAAGTCATAAAAGGAAGTCTCATAACTTCCTTTTATGAATAATTTTGATGACAAAATGAATTTCAACTGTGCGATAAATGAAACACGAATTTTTTTAAAGCTGTTCGCGAAGAACATTTTATAATTCAAAATTTAAAAAAGTTTCAAAAACTTATTAATTTATCCGTTG